TCTATATTAGATTCAGTTTATTTTATTTTCCATTTTGTTAGATCTAATTTTATTTATTTCTATTTAAAGATTTAATTAAAATCCTCCTTTCCTTAATTTATTCAACACCAAGCAGGCGAGAACATTATTGGTCTCGCGATGTTTCAATGTCATGTGACAGCTGCACGTCAGCGTCCTAAATTGACAGCTACGGCTTTTATTGCTGCTGAATCGCACCTTAGGTAGGAGACGCTGTCGGACTCTGACGTGCAGGTAGGCTTCTGTTCTGTTCAATTGTGTGCCTCTGTTAACTTACAGACGTGAACATTCGGCTAAACGTTGAAACGATCACGGTTTGTCAAGAGGGAACTGGTGAGTGTTTGTTCGGGAGCTAGCATGCTAGCACTAGCCTCCCCAGCTGTTAAGTAGGTGACGCCAATCTAAAGCACATTCAAATTGAAATGCTTATTGAAACTATTGTTGTGAAAAGAGTAACTTGAATTTGCATAAGTTGCATTTAATTATGTAAACTCCTGTAATTAGAAAATACATGTACATGTTGATTGATTATTTAGGCCTGTTTACACAGGCCAGGTGTATTGCAGATCCCCCCCCTCCGCTCAAGGAGTGGCTGAAGGGGTTAAGATGCATCACGGATTGTCTGGCTTCATGCTGACCAGACTGGCGAGCTAACCGTATTAGCGGATCCGGAGATACAACACTTATCTGTGAAAACTTCCGAACTGGTTGGAGATTCGGCCCAACAGTCTTCACTGATGGAACTGGATATTTATTTTTTGTTTTTCCTTTCATCATCAACAAAGACTGGTTGACTTTCTTGGATTAAGGAACCCTTTTGAACTCTAAATTGTGGACTAATTTGTATATATTGTAAATATCAATACAACTCACTGATTTTGCACCATCTACTTGTCTCTGTGTTTTACAATTTGCCACCTCCTCCAGCAGACGAACCTAGTTTTTAAGAAATCACTTGGATTGACTTTAATTTGGATTATTTCAAATCCTAAGAATCCTAGAATGTAACTTGGGTTACA